AGGCGGGGGAGAGGGGGGAGGGGTTCTAGGGTGGGAGGGTCAGGGAGGCAGGGGCCCAGCTGCAGGGGAGAGAGATACAGGGGATCTGGGGTTCGGGGAGGCTGGGGCTCAGTTGCTGGGGAGAGGCTGGAGGTTGTGGGGGCAGGGGCTCTGGGGTCGGGGGGGTTACAGGGAGGCTGGAGGAGGAGGGGGGAGGGGTTCTAGGGTGGGAGGGTCAGGGAGGCAGGGGCCCAGCTGCAGGGGAGAGAGATACAGGGGATCTGGGGTTCGGGGAGGCTGGGGCTCAGTTGCTGGGGAGAGGCTGGAGGTTGTGGGGGCAGGGGCTCTGGGGTGGGGCTTTGGGAAGGCTGGGGGGAGGGGCAGGTCAATTCCTGGGTTTGGGAGACTACTGGTTCTGTGGCACAGTTGATGGTGAGAGGGGTGGAGAGATGGGTCTGGGGCACAGTTACTGGGGGGAGGGGGGCAAGGATAAAGGAGTCTGGGGACAAGCTGCCAGGGAGAGGGGAAGGGGGTGACTGGGACATCTGGGGTAACAAGGGCACACTGTTGACTCATATCCAGTCACTGTATGACTCATGTTCTTGTCCACTGTAACCCCCACGTCCTTTTCTGCAGAACTGCTGCCTAGCCACTCGGTCCCTAGTCTGTAGCAGTACATGGGATTCTTCCGTCCTAAGTGCAGGACTCTGGACTTGTCCTTGTTGAACCTCAGCAGATTTCTTTTGGCCCAATCCTCTAATTTGTCTAGATCCCTCTGTATCCTCTCTCTACCCTCCAGCGTACCACTTCTCCCAGTTTAGTGTAATCTGCAAACTTGCTGAGGTTGCAATCCACGCCATCCTCCAGATCATTAATGAAGATATTGAACAAAACCGGCCCCAGGACCGACCCTTGGGGCACTCCGCTTGATACTGGCTGCCAACTAGACATGGAGCCATTGATCACTACCCATTGAGCCCGATGATCTATCCAGCTTTCTATCCACCTTATACTAATACTCTCACTTTGCATGTTTTTATACTTATACTAATACCACTTTTCTATCCACCTTATACTAATACATCCTACAACGTATCGATGTGTTGTCTCCTGAATAATCTGTGGGCTTGTCTACATTTAAAATGCTACAGCAGTGCAACTACACGGCTGCACCTGCACTGTGACACTACCTATTCTGCTGGGAGGGGTTCTCCTGTCAGCACAGGTAATCCACCTCCCTGAGAGGTAGAATT